GTTTAGTGTGCAGTGTGCAGTGTGCAGTGTGCAGTGTGCAGTGTGCAGTGTGCAGTGTGCAGTGTGCAGTGTGCAGTGTGCAGTGTGCAGTGTGCAGTGTGCGGTGTGTAGTTTACTGTGTACAGTACATTGTGCACTGTACGCTAACTTTAAGATAGTAGAGTTCATGTCCAGGAAGGTTTAAATGTTCTCAGCTGTAGGCTGTTTTGTATGGAGGTTTCGCTAATTAGGCGTAATTATTGCAACATTTCGCGAAATTACTTTTGTAGAAATTACGCGTAATTATTACAAAATTTCGCAAAATAACATTGTAGAAATTACGCGAAATTACACCGTAATTTCGCGAAATTAAAGTTTCGCTAATTACGCGAAAGCCTGCGAAATTACACGAATTGAAAATTATTTAGCGTAACTGCACGTAATTACGCGTAAGTGAATAATTTATTACGTTGGAAACCCTAATGTCCTTCTCTCAGGAGCTTCACATAGTTCAAGAAAAGCACAGGGGCGGGGAGTTGTAGAACGAGACGATAATGTTGCGTAACATTAAGATATAAAACCCATTAAAAATCATATGTTCATTCTTTAATGTATATTTCTAAATTTTCTGTTTTAAAAATCGTGATAAGTAATGTTTAATATTAAGAAATATATTTGTCCAATAAGGATAATTTCTAAATTGGCTTTTAATGGTTGTTTATAAATTGGTTTGTAATATTTCCATAATTTTGGTGGAAATCTGGGCTCATCTTTTATACAACAGAATGACAGAATTTTGTAAAATTGTTGAAACTCTGGTAGACTATTCTCCTACTTTAAATTCCCTTCCAATTTTCTAAAAATCATTTCTCTGTTTAAAAACTTTAGGCTTTTTTCAGAGGTTATTATTTAATCAATGATCAGTCAGAATCAAAAAAAGCATAAAAAAATGTAATTAATTTTACTGCAACTTTTTAACTGCAAATTTTTCTGCTTAAGCCTACGAAGGCTGGGTAGTCTGAATCTATGTTTATCCCCCCCCCCCCAAAAAAAGGCTGTAATTTAAAGGTTGAGGTTTCCCGCAAAATGGGGAAATCATTTTGAAAAAATTTAGCATTTTTTCGCCTTCCATACGTAAAAATTATTCGTTAAACTGTTTCGCAAAAAGCAATTCTCGAAAAATAAATGAACTGCATGCTAATAACTCAACTTTTTAATGCCAGCTCATTGAACATAAAATTAGACCGTTAACTTTAATAATTTGGGTGCTAGGAATGTTAAAAAAAATGCCAAAAAAAGGTTGGAAAAGTTAAAAAAAAAACGTTGTTTTGTTTTTGACAAATATTAAGATATGATACATGTGTATGTGTCCATTTTTATAGGGCTTTTAACAAATCTATAGCTTTAAGATCTGTAGCTTTAGTCACAAAAAAGTTATGGGCTATTTTAAACTTTGTTTAAACATGGACTTATGTATTCCCAATATAAAAATTTGGCAATAGTGTCAAAAATGAGAGTTTTAGGCCAAAAAAACAGAGCAATGACTTACCAATCTGATAAATATTAATTACAAAAATAAATACAATAACCTTGTAGTATAAGGAAGCTCAATAAAGTAAATAGCCTAATCTGCATTGAATAAAGACAAAACTTTATACACACAAACTGCACTTACACATTAAAATTAACAAACATGATTAGAGTAGAGATGGAACACTTCAGAGGGATCTCTCCGCCTCGACCGGCAGACATATTCTTCCATGACCAACTCTTTCAATCCCTTGATGAATACTAACCCTGTTAGAGTTTCCTACATGGCAGATTCGTTATTCTCAGTGTCATGGGAACTGCTATCACGCCGAACTCTATCTCAAGTTATAACAGATTCTCTAGATTGGCTTGTATCTGACATTAGGTATAGTTCTAACTACATTGAGTCAAATTTTAACCAGATTAAGTAAAACTCTAACCAGTTTAAGTCAAATTATAACCAGATTGATTAAAAAATAACCAGATTGAGTTAAAATTTAACCTAAATGAGTCAGAATTTCGTTTTTGAATTAAAAGCATTTGTAAAGAATATCGCTGGTCCAATCTCCAGGCCTGACTTATTATAGTAGTTTGTGAAGGTTTGATCTTTCTTGACTGAGGTAGGGATGATGATAGTGTGAGTAAAGATGGTGCTGGTGGAGAAAAGGATTGTAACATAAAAAGGAACAGTAAGAAGGTGGTAGGTAGGGTTCAGAGTGTGCCAAGATAGAAATATGTTGAAGATCATCGGTAAAGAGTTTTAAACAGTGTATAATATATATCTTGTTTAGAACTTGTAAAAAATTGAGTCTTTGCCAGAAAAAAATTTTATTCCATATATCTTTGCAACCTGATGGTGTAAAAGTTAGATATTTGAAGCTTAGATTATTTTATTTAACAGAATAGTTGAAATGAATAAGGTCTCTACGACATTAGGTAGAAAAGGTTTAGGGATAAAAAAATCATAGTTTGTAGCAAATTCTTTAAGGGAAGGGGGGGGGAGTTACAAGAGGTTAATAGACACACGCATCGAGAATTTTGAAACCAATTATCAATTTTGGAACTCTCAATTTTGCAGATTGCTTGTATTATGTATAAAATCATAGCCAAATGTTAAAATTTTTATCATTATTTATTAGTTTCCAATTTTCTAGCAAACTTTTTTATTTTTTTATTTTTAAATTATGTCTTCTGACCTGCTAGAAATACTTTGAAGGGCATTACAGCTCAAAAGATCTTGGAAAATACGAGTCCAGCTTTTAAAGTATCAAAATTGACCTCCAAGTGAAAAAACATCAAATTGTACAAAATATTTGGCTGAAATTGTCAAATTTGAACAAACAGTTTTACGGAACCGCGCATACCTTGGTCATTTTCAATATTTTTAAAACATGTTTTTTGTAGTGCATTCAGAACTTTGTTGTGCATCTTTCTTGGGCCGTTAATTTTATTTACGACACGTCGTTCCGACGGAATGTAAAGTAAGTAAAAAAGTAAAAAATTATTTATTTATGAAATATAACAAAAACATACAAAATAAAGTGTTTCAGGAGAAAATATTTAAAAACCTCTAAAAGTAGAGGTTGTGAGAATATTTCCCCCCAATTCTAAAAAAATATAAAAATAGAAATAAAAGGAAAAGGAAAGGAAAGGATAAGGAATTTTGTTTATTTTGTTTACACTATATTTAAATTAGTGGTGGATTGTTAGTATTTTTCGAGGATGAACTAACAACTTTTAGAAATAAAAATTATAGATTTATTTGTAATGTTAAAAAAAAGTTTTAATAAAGCTTTATGGAGTGTGAAAAAAGATATAGGTTCTATGAAAAACGGGCATTTTTAAGCATCTTTTTAATTCGCACTGATTTTTGACATCCTTTATGTTTGATTATATCTTTTACTCTTTTTAATCTTTTATTCTTTTCTTTGTAAAATCGTCTTTGGTTTCTTCGATTCTTTTGCAAACATAGCATGTGTTAGAATTAAAACATTGAAGAGAAGAATAAACATTTTCTGTCAAAAACGGGTTCTATTACCCAATTACTTAGCCACCACGCCTTTAAATTCATTTTACAGACACACCCTTTTTGTAATAATCCCTTGTAGTTTCCATTCCAATTCCGATGGTACCTTCAAGGGAATTGAGTCTTTGTCACAAACTATGATTTTCTAATCTCATATCTTTGTAATCCAATGCTGTAGACCTTAGATATTTCAAACTATGAATTCTGTTAGATGAAAAAATCTAAGTTTGAAATATCAAAGGTTTACACCACCAGGTGGAAAAAATATAGGTATTAGAAAATCAGACTCAATTCCTTTGTTCTATCATGTCTACAGCCTGTATTATGGCTTAGAAAAGAAAACTTTTTGAGAGAGATGAATCTTTGCAATTGAAAATGCATAGGCGCAAAGAAAACAGATGTGATACTGATTTTTTTTATCATGTGTCATTTTCATGCGTTTATGCGCGGCGCAGAGAAGCACGATGTTAACAAATAAAATAAAAGTTTTTGAGAGAGTTGAAAGATTAGAATGAAAACGCACAGGCGCACGGAAATAACATGGAGTTCTTAATTTTTGATCAAGTGTGATTTTCATGCGTTTTTTCGCGGCGCAGAAAAGCATGATTTTGTTAAATAATATTATATTTGTGAAATGAAATCAAAGTTTTTCAGAAAGTTGAAAGATTGGAATGAAAACGCACAGGCGCTCGGAAAAAAACATGCAGTCCTAAATTTTTTATCAAGTGTGAGTTTTTGCGCGGCCTAAAAACCTGTGCATTTGAAAAGCACAAACGTTCTCTTTTGAGAATTGAATATTTGTATTTGTTTTCTTGAATGTTTGAAGATGCACAGACGCACAGATAAAATGACATATAACCCCAATTTTGATTTTAGGGCTATTTACATAGGCGTAGGCGAGCTAGGCGGAACAAGACTGGTCTTCATTAGATTCTTTTATCCCTCTAGCGGGATCAAATCTGTCTCCCAATTTCAACTTGGTTTAGACTCGTAGCTCAGGGAAAGCACAAATCTTAATAGAAGTATCTATCTATCTCCTTTCAGAGATCTTAAGGATAGTGTTTTCGTAATTTATGAAAATTATGATATTCAAAAAACAGAAATTTTTTAACCATTTTATAAAAAAATATCATGATTTAACTAAACAAAAAGGGGTATTTTCATTTTTTATTGCAAAAAAGTGCACATTTACAAAAAAAATGTTAGTTTTTTTATGCATAAACTTCTTCAGAATTTAGTTACTTTTATGATTAGACTAGGTTATGATTTATGGTTCATAAGAAATTGATAAGAACTTTTAGGGTAAATATTACTTACAAATAATATGAAAAATTCACATCATACATAAATATATATACATATGTATAATTATATAACCATCAAATGGAAAAAAGGAACAAGTTGGGCTAAAGAGTGCCCGCCACAGTTTAATTTGTATTTAAGACTTTGAAACAAATATTCATGAGCAGTAGATTATAGAAAGCTGACATAAGCACATCATCTTGTCAGGTAATGATTTCATAGTTACACATACATTTTAAATTAAGTTGTAGCCAATCTTTTTGCATACTTAATATTTTTTGTATCATTTACAGTATGATTATTTTCTCTTCATTTAAAATCAACTACTGTATTTTACAAAGTATTCTACTTTATATATTATATTCCTTTTCATCAATTGCAGAGAATATACTTTAGAAAATATTCCCTTTTCTTAAAAAAAGTAAGTTGGAGAGGAACCATGGCTTACCAAAGACCAAATACAACAGCTTTAGAATGGCCAAGTCTTTATCAGGCTAATTTTAAGAATACAAGGATTGGAAATATAAGGGGTACTGAGGGTATATGCTAGAGAAATAGAGGGAGTGAAAGTGCTTTTGTCCAAATAGAGCTAAATGTATCACAAATAAAGCTATCACCAGGTTACCTGAGCAGATCTGCATGTACTCGGAGTATAATTATCATTTCTCGTGAGAAATGTCTTACCTGACTTTTGCTAAAGCGTCTGACACTCTCCCAATCTACATCACTCCCTCCTGTCATTCTCTTGTAATACCTGTGCATTACCTGTCACTAGAAGGCAGGTCAGATTGGCTTTAGTTTCTGACATTCTCTATGTCAATTTTTCCAAGTTCAAAAATTCTAAATTCAGTATTCCAATTTTTCCAAAACATGCATGCCTGATTCTTTACACTTCTTAAATATTACTCAATCTCCTTAGTGCTGTCTTGTAGACCAAATGCTAAAATCATCTGTTCAAAGCCATATAAAAGTTGTCACAACTTAATGGAATGGAAGTGTAAAGAAAAATAATAATTCTCTTAAAATGTAAAAAATATAAATTTTAAATGTTCATGGCCCGTTTTAATCTTTGTATATTAATTGCACATTATCTGCAAAAATATTTCTTTGTTCAAAAAGTCCGCAAAATGTGTAATATTTTTTACAATATTTCGCCAGTATCAGATATGCTTAAATATGAATATGCTGTTTTTGATGATCTTTTCTATAATTCTGTATTGTTTAATGTTCATTATTAATCCTTAGGAAAGGGAAACTCCTGAAAATGTCGCCAAAGAAATCTAAACAAAGATCTAAAGGAAAGAATCCTGGTGTTGTAAATAAACAAGAACCAAGAGCTGAAGGGGAGAATCCTGGTGTTGTAAATAAACAAGAACCAATATCTAAAGGAAAGAATCCTGGTGTTGTAAATAAACAAGAAGCAAGAGCTGAAGGGGAGAATCCTGGTGTTGTAAATAAACAAGAACCAAGAGCTGAAGGGGAGAATCCTGGTGTTGTAAATAAACAAGAAAGAATTCTGGTGTTGTAAATAAACAAGAACCAAGAGCTGAAGGAAAGAATCCTGGTGTTGTAAATAAACAAGAACCAATATCTGAAGGGGAGAATCCTGGTGTTGTAAATAAACAAGGACCAAGATCTAAAGAGGGATTTCCTGGTGTTATAGAAAGTGTCAACATCAAAGATAATGGAAGAATAAAGCTTCTGATCATTGGGAAAACTGGTACTGGAAAAAGTTCTCTCTGTAACGTGATAACTGGTTATGATCATGATGCAGATATATACCCAGTGTCTGCAGAAGGTAAGTCCTGCACGCAAAGAACGCAATTTGCAGATGTGTTCTTTGATAACGACCCAACACTTGCAATATCTCTGATTGATACAATTGGATTTGATGATGCAAATAACGATGATGATGCTGCCATTATTGCTGAAATTGTTGACAAGCTGAATAAGGACTGTGATCATATCAATCTATTTTTAATAGCTGTTCATGGGCAGAACGCAAGGCTAGATGGATCTCTGGTTGGAATTATAAGAATATTTGAGGGAATGTTCACGGAAAAGTTCTGGAAGCAGGCTCTAGTTGTCTTCACCCATGTTCCCATGAATGAAGCAAACAAGGAACGGAGAAACAAAATAACTAAGATGTCAGACGAGGAGAAAGCATTAAAATACATGGAGCTTGTAAGAGAGCGGTTTCCAAATGGAAAATATTTGAAACATGTATTCTTGGATGCAACTTACGACAAAGGGAATAGTGAAGAAAGTAAGGCATTTAAAACTGGTCTTGCCTTCATCAGAAGATCTTTAGAGAATGCTCCAAACATTCCAACTTCACATGTTAGAGAAGTTGAAACAGAAAATGCTAAATTGAAGCGACAAATTCAAGAATCTGAAAAGGCAAGGGAAAAAGCAGAAGCAGATTATATCAAACTGACTAAAGAAATGTACAAACAAGCACTATGTGAGAAAAAGAGGATAGAGGAAGAGATGGAGAAATTGAAGGAAGATCAGAAAGCCCAAGTAGAGAAGGGCAGAAAGTATTCAGAAGAACAATTTAACAAGAAGATGAAAGAGATGGAAGAGGAGGGTAAAAAAAAAGAGATGGAGTTTCACAAGAAGTATGATGATATGAAGAAAACATATGAACAAACGACGAATAGACCTGCTCCTGAAGCCAAAGGATGGTGCACAATATTATAAAATATTTAATTTGTTTTGATCTACTAATTTTTATATGCATTACTTATATTTGTTTATGCTTTACTTGCAAGAATATTAAATCGGAAAGACAACAAAAACTTATTTATCTGCAATCTTTATTTTTTCTTGTTGTATCTATTCTATGTGGTAGTAGACGATAATATCAATATAACTTTTGATTTCAATTTTATTTATATTAAGATTTTAAGCAGGGTGGATACATAAAAACATTGGAGACAAAGAGAAGCTGCCAATTAACAAAAATTTTATTAATTACTTGTAAACTTGTAATTCAAAAAAGCTTGGTAACTTTTAAAACTTGAATAAATTTTATTGATAAAATTGCCTACCACTGTCAGGGGCGTATTCAGAATTTTTTCTGGAGAGGGGCTTAACATATTTATCTCAGCCTCCATTGGGGCCTGAAAACCCCCTTAAATTTTACTGGACCAGGTGAGGCTTAGCCCCAATCCCCCCAAATTATTTAGCGTAACTGCACGTAATTACGCGTAAGTGAATAATTTATTACGTTGGAAACCCTAATGTCCTTCTCTCAGGAGCTTCACATAGTTCAAGAAAAGCACAGGGGCGGGGAGTTGTAGAACGAGACGATAATGTTGCGTAACATTAAGATATAAAACCCATTAAAAATCATATGTTCATTCTTTAATGTATATNGTTTTTTGTCCTAACACTCTAATTTTTGACGCTATCACCGTAAAATTTGGTGACTTTTAATGATTAGTAATTTAAAAGTTTTTTATAAAATATTTTTTTTAATGCATAGGGAAGGGTGCAGGGCGGAAAAAAAATCTAAAATAGCACATAACTTTTTTGCGACTAAAGCTAGATCTAAAACCAATGTTTTGAAAAGCCCTTGAAAAATGGATATAGAAACATGGGTCACACTTTGATATTTGTTTAAAACAAAAATTTTTTTTTTTCATTTTTCTGACTTTTTTATGGCATTTTTTTCAACCCTCCCTAGCACCCAAACTATAAAAGTTAACCGTCTATTTTTTTTCCATTGAGCTGGCTTGAAAAATTGGACTATTAACATGCATTTCAACCCTATACATATTCCCTAAGGCCTTTTTCTAGGGGGGGGGGGTGCCCCCCCAGACTATACATCCCCAGACTATACATAGATTCAGACCCCCAGCCTTTATAGGGTTAAGGGGTAATCATACCCAAATACTTGACAAGGTACAATTATTATGCAAGATGCCGAATTTAAAGAATTTAAGCCTCGGCTCAAATATGGATGGTTCCACTTAAAATCGTATGCATTGCTTCAAGATTTCAGTTTATACATAGATTGAGACCCCCCAGCCTTTATAGGGTTAAAGGACCTGAGTTTTTGCTACAAACTCAAATGTTCTTATCATCATATCTTTGTAACCTAATGATGTTTAATATTTAAAACTTAGATTATTTGATCTAATAGAATTCAAAGTTTGAAATATTTAAGGTCTATAACATTGAGTTGCAAAGATATATATATTAAAGAATTAAAGCTTTTGGCAAAAACTTAATTCCTTTGTTGCTGACTGCTTTTTACAGAGTAACTTGATTGATTAAATATTTTTTATTTAGGATCTATATTTTGGGGTTAGTCCTAGATTTGGGCAGTAACCTGTCAAAAATTCTACCATAAAGGTTATTATTTCTTCTATACATATGCATTTATAATAAAGGGATTGTAGGCATAATTGTAAGTGACCTTCTGTTAAAAAATTCGAACAGTACCCTTAAAAGCTTTTTCTGGCCAAGTATGAATAAGATAACCATGTTTATAATTTTGAAAACTGATTTTTTTCATTTGTGATTTCTAACAATTGCCGACAAGATTAAGGTTTTAAGGCTACTGTTGTGAATCAGGCCCCTATGCAAATGGGGGACTAACTTAAAACTAAACTTAGAGTCACTTCAGGTAAATAATTAGCTTCTCACAAGATATAATTTTAAAACATTATAATTTACATATTTCATCTTTTACAAAAATTTTACATTCTTTATAATAGGACGGATTGTTCTGTTACATGGCCATGGAATCTAGAAATATATATCCTGGGGTTGAAAAAACCAATTATGTTAAAGATAATGGAAGAAGAAAGCTTCTGATCATTGGGAAAACTGGTACAGGAAAAAGTTCTCTCTGTAACGTGATAACTGGTTATGATCATGATGCAGATATATATCCAGTATCAGCAGATCCAGAATCTTGTACACAAGGCACAAAGTTTGCCAATGTACTGTTCAATGGAGACCCAACACTTCCAATATCTCTGATTGATACAATTGGATTTGATGATGCAACTAAGAATGATGATGCAGCCATTATTGCTGAGCTTGTCAGTAAACTGAATAATGACTGTGATCATGTAAATCTATTTGCAATAGCTGTTAATGGGCAGAACCCAAGACTGGATGGCTCTCTGGTTGCGATTATCAGAATATTTGAGGAAATGTTCACTACCGAGTTCTGGAAACAAGCGGTAGTTATATTTACAAGGGTTCAGCAAGATGTAAAAACAAAGACTAGAAGAGAACAGAAGAATAAGAAAAGTGATGTTGAATTAGCAGCCAACTATATGAGGGTTGTTGAGGAGAAGTTTCCTAGTGGTAAAGGGTTAAAATATCTTCATATGGATGCATGTTATGACAAGGATGATAATGTTGAAAACGCTGCATTTCTCGAAGCTCTTGGCACACTTCGCAAGTCTTTAGAAGATAATCCTGGCCTTACAACAGCTTCTATTAGACGAGTAGAAACCGAGAATGAGACTTTAAGAAGAAAGATAAAGGAACAAGAGCAGTGGCGAAAAGAGGCCGAAGATAAATTCAAAGAAGCAGTTGAAAACATGGGGTGTAAAGCTAAAGAGGAAAGAGAGTTGGTTGAGGCTAAAATGCTAAGAATGATGGAAGAGCAAAATGCAAAGACAGAAGACGAGAGAAGGAAAACTGAGAAAATGCATCAACAGCATATTCAAGCATTAATAGAAGCTGAAGAAGAAAGAGAGAAAGAGAGACAAAGAGAACTAGAAGTTTTGAAGAAGGACCATGAAGATAAAGGACTTCCTACCATTGGGCCTTTGGATAAACTTCGCCAGTTCATTGAAATGATTGCCACTCCTATTATCTTAGTTATTGAGGCTGTTGCAAAGTTTAAAGCTTAAGATGTTCAGAAGGCTTTCATTCATCAATGCATAATAGCATTGGATTTCCAACCTAACATAAAAAAGATATTGCCAAAGGTTTAAATATCTTTTAATTAGTGCTTCATGATTCCTATTTTATGATTTCAAATGATGTTTGCTTTGTGATTCATATTTTATTATTTTAAATGAAATATATTTAATCTAAGATTTTTTTCCTACCAATTAAATCAAGAAAAAAATCCATAAATTCATATCCCACCAAGACCCGAAGACCTCTCAAGGAGGCTTTAATTGCCTCTCAGGAGCCGTGATCGGGAGACCATAAATAGACCAGTAAGACATGGTTGAAGGCCTCCCTCAATATCGGCTGTAACATATTACTAATGGGTTCTCATGCTCTCCAGGGGTCCTTATGCTGCTATCTATCTGCCTAACTTTCTCTCTGTGTAATCTGATACCGGCAGCTGTTTTGAAGCTGTTTCCCACCTCACCTCCTTCCCCCCAGGACTCAGATGGCTAATTAAGACCCCCTAAGGGTGTCTTAAAAACGCTTCAGATCAGCACCCTGACAGGGCTTCACAAGGTAGTGTCAAATTGGGGGTACCCTTTGTANTGAGAGGGGGAACACAAGGTAATACCCCCAAAAATATTTTTTTTGAGGGGCACCCTTTGTACACCCCCGATTTGACACCCCCTTGTGAAGACCCGTCAGGACCCCATCTAAAAAAACAAATGCATTGTAATTTAAAAAAATTTATTTATTTTAAAAAGATATCAAAAAATTATCGTTTCTAAATTCAGATCCTTCTTTATTCCTGGATGTTGTTATGTATACCAGCATGGTTATATGGAGAAAATTTTATTTCTGGATAAAATCAAGCCCTACTTAGTTTTCAATCCAAACTATACGACATCAGAAAAGAGTTTTATTCCTCCAGCTCCATCAATTCAGGCCGATTTGGATGTTACTATGACATGGTTTTTCACCTACGAGGATGAGTCTATTGTTTTGGAAGATGTTATTCATTCTGATGAATTACAAAAATTCATTCTCTTCCTTCGTCCTCTCACCCTACTTATAGTTTGATCACAAAAATGACTCTGGGTTCCATAAATTCTGATATTCCTGATACCCAAGTTTGTAATAGTTCTTCTTTATTTATAGATAACATTCAAGAAAATACCGCTAAAAACGAAAGTTTGTCTGAACAAGCCAGGCTCGAACCGTCATCAGTAATACAACATTCTGAAAGTTCTATTGATATTACTCATCCTGAGATGGAATTTAAAGAATTTGAGCCACGGTTTAAATCCACTAAAATCCGCCAAAACCCGGTTTAAATTTAGCGCCGGCTTAAATCTTGAAACATTTGATGCAATTTCAAGTGGAACCAACCATATTTAAACCGCGGCTTAAATTTAAACCGCCGCTCAAATTCTTTAAATTCGGCCACTGGTTACATTTGTACAAAAATTATGTCATCTGTGTCAAACTTTGTTAAAAAGAGAGGGTGGATACAAAAGATGTATATGCAGAAGAAATATTCACATAAAATGTGCAATGTTAAAAAGTCCATGTGAGCTAACAATTGTAATGTAAGATTTTTTCTCTTTATGTTCTTTCCTTATTTTATATTTCTACGGTGATATAATAAATTTGCCAATTTTTTAGAAAAATATTTGCAGCATACTAACAATTTTAAAGATTTGTGTGAATAAATGTGTAAATTAAGATATTCTTAGGTTTAATTTATAAATTCAGTTGATTAATTCGACAAAAATGCGAAAAATAACTTATAAACATGCAAATATAAAAATGATAAGATTAACGTTTTTTTCTTTACTAGCGTTTTATCTGATAGCATTTTATGAGTGCAGGGTTTTATGAGGTAGCGTTTTATCTATGAGCGTTTTAAGAGGTACACCTTACACCTTATGTACCTGCATGTTGTTATGTACCTGCATATTGTTATGTACTTGGCCGTTGTTATGTACCTGCATGTTAAATTATGTACCAGTATGTTGTTATGTTCCTTGATGTTGTTATATACCTGCATGTTGTTATGTACCTGCATGTTGTTATGAACCTGCATATTGTTATGTACCTGCACATTGTTATGTACCTGCACGTTATTATGTACCAGCATATTGTTATGTACCTGGATGTTGTTATGTACCTGCATATTGTCATGTATCTGCATGTTGTTATGTACCTGTATGTTGTTATGTACCTGCATGTTGTTATGTACCTCCATGTTTTTTTTTGTATCTGAATGTTGTTATGTACCTGCATGTTGTTATGTACCTGCATGTTGTTATGTATTTGGATGTTTTTATGTACCTGCATGTTGATATGTATCAGCACAGTGTTATGTACCTGCATGTGATTATGTAATACAAATATTTATTGTAATGTAATGTTACTTACGTTTATCAGGGAAGCTTCATTAACTTTATATACCTGCATGTTGTTATGTACTTAGATGTTGTTATGGACATGCATATTTATATGTACCTGCATGTTGTTATATACCTGCATTTCGTTAGGTTCATCAGCTCCTGCATATTGTTATGTACCTGCTTGTTGTTATGTACCAGCATGTTATCATGTATCTGCATGTAGTTATGTACCAGCATGTTGTTATGTATCTGGATGTTGTTATGTACCTGATTGTTGTTATGTACCAGCATGTTATTGTGTATCTGCATGTAGTTATGTACCAGTATGTTGTTATGTATATGGATGTTGTTATGTACCTGATTGTTGTTATGTACCAGCATGTTATTGTGTATCTGAATGTTGTTATGTACCAGCATGTTATTGTGTATCTGAATGTATTTATGTACCAGCATGTTGTTATGTATATGGATGTTGTTATGTACCTGTTTGTTGTTTTGTACCTGCATGTTGTTATGTTCCTGGATGTTGTTATGTACCTGCATGTTGTTATGTTCCTGGATGTTGTTATGTACCTGCATATTGCTATATTTTTGCCGATGATACAACACTGCAACTTTCTTCAAAAAGCTTACATGACTTTTATGATTTGGCAAATTTTGAGCTCTCCAAATTAGAAGATTGGTTTAAAGCAAACAAACTGACTTTGAATGCGTCTAAAACCAAATATATTCTCTTCAAAAATAAAAAAGAAGATGTAAGTATCACCTCTCTTAAACTTCAAATAGATAATAAAGATATAGAAGGAGTAGGAACTGGATGCAAAAATGTTTTTAAGTTTGTAGGTGTCCATTTCGACGAAAATCTTAACTGGAACCATCATCTTAAGGTGGTTAAAAACAAAGCATCCAGTGCAGTTTTTGCTTTGTCAAGTGTAAAAAATATTCTTCCTAGTAATTCTTGACTTAAAAGAAGCAACTCTCTAAGTATATTTAAAAATAGACTACTAGATTCTCTTTTTGAAAATTACATTACAATGTGTTAAAAACCGAATTGCTATGCATGTAAAACTAATTAGATATGTTTTAATATGCTTTGATATTGATATAAACATCAGAGTTTAAGATATTGATAGAATAGTTCAAAATATTGATAGAATAATTTAAAATATTGATAGAAAAGTTTAAGATAATGATAGAATAGTTTAAGATAATGACAGAATAGTTTAAAATATTGATATAAAAATTTAAGATAATGATAGAATAGTTTTAAATATTGATAGTATAGTTTAAGATATTGGATAACTTTTATTACATAGGATTATGGTGAATGATGGTGACAATGTTGACAATGTGTAATTGTTAACAATGTCTTATTCTTTATGATGTCAATTGTTTTTAAAAAATTTTTATACCACAAACCTTTTTAAGGAAAGATTCAAACTGTTTTTTGATAATATCCAGGTTAATTTATGTCGCGGTCAAAAATCTTGTTTGTTAATTGAACAAAACGATTGTTTCAGACATTCTTTTTTTCATTTTAATTTTAAACATCCATTATCTATTTGACTTCTTTTTGACGTACCCTTGGTACTATAGGGTTAGTCCAAGATATTTCATTTTATACTTTCTCTGAGAGTGGTAAATACATTTTCTCTGACATTACCTAAGTGCACACTCTATCACTTCTTGGTATTAATATCATGATCCAAGATAAGTACTTTTTCAAGTAAATAAGAACAACTTTGATACAACTCTACAAATATAAATGTAAACCTTATATCAGATGTTTTAAAATAAGTTTATTTTTATAATTTTCTAACAAAGATTTCCAAAAGTTTGAAAGGATACAAAATGGATTAAAAACTTCCTGTCTTCTAAATCATATATTTGGAAAGAGGCCCCATTAGATACTTTTCACTTTTCTCATTTTAACTTGTTCAATTTGAATTAATTTTTAAAAGTTTAGACTTTTCTTAATCTTAGTTTTCCCACCCATTGTGAAATAGACACACAGAGAGTTTTATCAAATATATAAAGGAATTGAGTCGTTGCCAGAAACTCAAATTTTCTTATTCCTATATCTTTGGAATCTGATGGTGTACACCTTAGATATTTCAAACAATTTCAAACATATTTAATACTGAAGACGTCATAGTTTGAAATATCTTTTAAAATTCTTTAACAAAATTCTTTTCATTATCTTAATCTAAAATTCACATATTTTCGAATGAAAAAAAAGTAAAACTAATTTTTTTTGTATTTAATTATCTTTTCTACTTTTAGTCCAACCTGGATAAGTACTGTCAGAAGGAGTTCATCTGGACAATGTACAGACCTTCTACTGAGATAGAATGTCAATGATATTAGGACTTGTCGCGTAAAGATCTTCTTCACACAAAATTAATATTTATTTATTTTATTTATTTTAATTATTTATTGCTGAGAACCATACTGTTAAAACATTATGTTCTTTGATAAATTTGAATATCACTGATATTTAGACTATTAAATTGTAAAGATGAGTGTCAAGGATTTTAGGACTCTTTTTGTAAAGAATGTATGTTATTTTTTACCAACAATATGTTGTTTATAATAACCTAAATATTATAGAATATGTTTTATACTGAAATTGAATATAATTTTCTAAATCTTAATAAAATAGTTTTTTTTATAAAAGAATGTCTTTCCTCTGTAAAAAATGTCGCACTGTTTAAAGAATGTCACACTCTTTACAGAATGTCGTACTCTTTAAAGAATGTC